CCCCCACCTTACCCCCCCACCCACCCACCCGCACACACGCACACCGTCAATTTGACGCCAAGCTTACAAAATTCAAATAATGTCTTCCCCAGAAGACTACCCCCCGAGACAGTCTGCCAGTAACTAGTGTACGCCGAACCCCAACGTCAAAAAAGACATAAGACTGCAATACATAGACAACAAATTGAACACATTGCTACCAATGTTTCATTTAAGTTCTTTGCCTTTCAATGTATTCATTTTCATGGTCAGCATGAACGCAATGCATTGTCGTCATGGATTTTGGTCATCCACACAGCACACGAGACGTACCCGGCGCACAGCCCGACCAACATCCCTCACAAAAGCGCCGTCAGAAAGACCCACCAGCGCCCAGAGCCCGCGGGCATTCCGAGCTCCGCCGCTGCAGCCCACCGCGCCCCGCACCCCGTCTGCCTCCCCCAGCCCCCCCGTCGCCGGTGCCCGATGTCTGCCGTTCGCGCCCTGGTAGGTAGCTTCGTGGGCGCCGTGCTGGCGAACAATCCCGGCCTCGTCTTCTTCATGGCCGGAACGGTCGCGGGAATATACGCGGAGCAAACGTACAAGCTGCCAAACATGGAGGACGCGGCCAAGGGGTACGCCCCAACCCCCCCAAGCACCCACCTACTGTCGCGCAACGGGGATGTCTGTGCTTCCAGGGCCCCCGTGGGTTCCGAGAATGGCTCCGGGATGTTGATTTTGGAACGTGGCGCCCGCGGCCACGCGAACGTCGGCTGCAGGGGAATGGACGCGCCCCAGCGCCTTTGGCACGATGACCTGAGGCGGGTTGGCCGCCGAGAGCCACCATTGTGCGCTGTTGGGGAGGCACCGGGGGCATGTTGGCGGATTGTTTCTTTCGTTTGCCGCGGCGACAGATGCAGTCATGGTTATGGACCAGAATTGGGGATTTGTGGACGCGTGCGGACTGATGAGCGCTGCGTACTTGGTGTTTCAGGTATTACTCCCAAGCGAAGCAAATGGAGGCATCTCTCAGGAAGGGCGACTGACCTGCGTGGGCGCATTGTGAGGCCCACGATGACATGTTCGAGTGAGTCGGAAGAGGGCACTATTCTCTCCGCGTGTGCTTCAAATTGTCAATAGCGTGCAGACAGTGCTTCTCGGCGCAGTGAGGTCCATGTGGATGTTGTGGCCCAAGGCCTGCAGCTGGCACATGCATGGCAGTGGGCTGTGTAGAACCTGAGGAAACCTGACAAAATTCAGGTGTGTGTGTGGCCTTCTCCAGTTACAGCTCCCCTTTCTTGGTGGCTTTGGGTGCCTCCGTGCTCTGGATTCATGACCGTTGGCTGTGCCGTTTGCAGAGACGGGCTTTGTGTGGGGACCACCGTGTCCGTGGAAGCCAGATGGGCCATGGGCAACGTGCTGGATGCGAAGGCGTGGCAACACCTCAGGCACACTAACGATGTCTGTACAGTTGTTAGCCCGACACACACCTGGCAGATGATTCTCTCTGCAGCTATAGTGTGTTGGGAAGTGGGGTGGGGAGGGGTTGCTGGGGGAGTGGAGTGTTTTTGTTGCCCACTATTGCCAAGAAGAATTGATTTCCTGTGAAGTCCAACTCGTGCTGGTTTTCTTCCTGTCAACATAAGTTAAAATGATCGGAAGTAGAGGGTGTGCATTCGTTGGCACTCGTGGGCGCCTAGACTGGAACAATTTCAAGTGCAGGCTGTAACTGAATTCTATATTTGTGTTGCCTTCATCCGATTTCCCTTTCCTGTGGGCTGTGCCGCCCATGAGGACTGCATTTGATCTTGGCATGCCAAGGTCATTCGCTGAATCCACTTGTGTTTTAGCTCAATGGCATAGAAGACATGTCCACAGTGCCGGCATTGTCTTGGAGCAAAATGTCTTGGAGGCCTTACCCAGTGCACTGCAGAGTGCCAATGCTCGAGTCTTGCAGAGGGGGTATCAACATCTGAATAAACAGCTGTCCAACTTCCCTGTGGTATACAACAACACTGTGCATTGCTACACCGTGCAGCAGCCAATTGCAGGAATAGAGCACTGGAAAGCCGAAGATCTTGTTTGCCACCCTGGTGGGACAAGCCCACATATCCTTAAAAGGCGATGGCGACTGGCGTCCCACAATGGTGTTGATTTACTTCGATATACTTTACAAGCAGTAGATTACTGTGACAACCACCTGTACAAATGCAACATGCTGGTCCCTACAACCCTCTAGTGCATTTTCTTTCAGCTTCACAGCATCCAGGCCAATCCGATACACAGGCAGGAGAGCTTGAGGCAGCAGCGGAAACACATCCCATGCCTGGCGTGAATCGCCCCCACCCCTCTGTTTGCCAATCCTGGCAAACATGGATGAATCTCGACCCATCAGCACGACAGCGCCCAGGATAGCACTTGCTGGCCGGGTGGCACGTTGAACCTCGTTGGTGTGAGAGGGGGAGCTGCATCGCTGGCTGACTAGTTGCACCACCACTGGAAGTCGAATCAAGTGCAAGGAGATGGAAATCTTAGTACACATACAAGCTGGATAGGAATCCATAGTGTTTTGGACACAACTGTGAGGCTTTGAAAAGCATCTTGCAGTTACTTGTTGGTGCAAGGGCAGGGGAGTGCTTTGCTAATTAATATTCGTAGCTGAGGTCTATTCAGAATCTCGCTGCCCCTTGTCTGAGGGATGGTGACAAGACAGTCGATTCCTATATTTCCTCACTGGATTGACAGCTATGATGGACGATTTGCTTGACAATGCTCATGTTCCTGCACATATTCACAACGCGATGGCCGCACCATCGTAAAGCGCAGGCGGCATTGGTGTGCACCATTGTGGTCTCATGCAATAGTCAGATCTTTATCTCATTTCCCAGCATGCCCCTCCTTCGCTCTTTCCTCTTGCGCTCGGGGGTGTAGAGAATGTGTACTTGTGCATATAAATGTATGCCTGCGTTTGTACTTCTCCATTTTGCAGTTGGCCACGCCGCGCTCACCATACACAGTGAGTCGCATGTTTGGCGCGCCAGTCTTCAACTGCTATCAGTGATCCACCCAGCGAAGCGGTGGTCATTGCGTATTGCGCAGTGCCCTACCTTTCAAGTATGTTGCTACATCGCGAACAAGTTCCTTCCTGAGAACGAAGTGCTCACAATAACAGAGCATGAGAACATAAGAACGCAAGAATAGAAGAACAGAAATGTTGTCTTTTGCCCGTTTCCGCCCAAGAATTGGGTTCGAATTCCTGCAAGGCCCCCCCCACCCACCCCACCCCACCTGGCACACCCAACTCTCAACAACCCCAGCCGAGACGCCCGCCCGCAGGCAGCGCCCGCCCGCCCCCTGCCCCTGCCCCTCCTCCCACCGCCCGAGGCGCCCGGGGCCCCTTCCCCTCTCCCCCTCCCCCGACCCCGATGTCTGACCCCCCCGCGGCCAGCGCACCGGCATCCCAGGATCCCTCCCCCGCGCCCGCCCCCTCCTCCGGGCCCTTCCCCTTCGGCCAGTACCCCCCGGCGGTGGCCAGCTTTCCCCCTGCCGGTCCCCCGGGGCCGGCCGGCGCCCGCTACCCCCTGCCCCAGCCCTCCGCCGGGGACGCCAAGTTCGCCCAGCTGATGACCTTCTGGCAGAGCCAGCTGCAGGAGATCCAGGCCCTGGGGCCGGAGGACCTGAAGAACCACCAGCTGCCCCTGGCGCGCATCAAGAAGATAATGAAGTCGGACGAGGACGTGCGCATGATCAGCGCCGAGGCGCCGGTGCTGTTCAGCAAGGCCTGCGAGATGTTCATCCTGGAGCTCACGCTGCGGGCGTGGTTCCAGAGCGAGGAGAACAAGCGCCGCACGCTGCAGCGCAGCGACATCGCTGCGGCCATCACGGGCACGGACGTCTTCGACTTCCTGGTGGACATCGTGCCCCGGGAGGAGCCGAGGGAGGCGGCGGAGCAGAGCGCCAGGATCCCGCAGCACTACCCGGTGGCGGGGCTCTACCCATACTTCACCCCCGGGGCCTACAGGCCGGTGGGCAGCGAGGGCGGCATGGTGGCGCCCACCTTCCCGGTGCCCATGGACCCCCAGACGCTGATGTACCACAGCCCGCACTTCATGCCCGTGGGGCCCCACCACTGGCCGCAGGTGGGCGCGCCCGGCGCACCCAGCCAGCCCGCCAACGGCAGCGGCGACGCGGCGCGGGAGAGGAGAGCCTGAGGCAGGAGGCTCTGCGGCTGAGGGGTTTGGGGCGAGGAGCTGGGCTGTGTCGACTGTGGTGGGCGTTGGAAGCGGGGATGGGGCGAGGGCGCAGTCGTGTGGTTGTGCTTGGGGGCACAGTTGCGACGAGCCGTGTTTGGCGTTGCATCGGAGCTTCGTGGGGCGACGAGGCTGTTTTTGGTCGTGTGGCGGCCTCTTGGTGACCCCACTTGGGCAGACTCCCGACAGGCCGCAGTGGAGTTGGCTTTTGGCAACCCTGGTGAGGTTGCCTCCTAGCAACGCAGTAGTGCCTGCCCAGCGAACCCATCGAGAGGCCAGGTCAGCAGCGGTGGAGGGCAGTTCTTGCAGGAGCAAGGTCATGTGGGTATTGGACACAGCCTGTGCCCAGGCCAAGCGCAGTGGATTGTTGTTTGGGAGGGTGGAGCGGGGCATATTGGTGGCATATTGGGGAGGCAAGCTGTGTTCCTTTCAGCTGTGCCTGGGCGACGCAGCGGTGTGCATTAGAATGGCGAGTGAGAGGACCAGTACCAGCAGTGGAATGGGGGGTTTGGGATGAACAACAAGCATCTGGATGTGTGGATGGCGTAAAGACAATTGTAGGGACATGCAGAGCTATAAACATGCCCCAAACTTGGGGACATCTGTAATTTTGTTTGCTGTGATGGTCGTTGGCACTTTCTTAACGTGGGCGTTGGGTTTGTGGGTGTAGTGGACGAAGTGCTGTGTTGCAGGAATCTCTTGCCAGGTGATGGCACTGGAGTGGCGTGCGAGTTCGGGGACTCCAGGTATGTTTGAGCTGTTGCAAGTCATGTTCTCTTCTACCCTTGGACCTCTGGAGAAGCAAATCTATTGTTGGGCAATGCAATAGGCCTCACAGCAACCCGCAACAGAAGGTGTGCAAAAGGCATAGGCATCGGCATCCTGTTCTCATGACAATGCATGGAGGCATATGGCTCTTTAGGTTGTACATCTGTGTCCCGCTTGCTGTGCGTTCATGCCTAGAGGTTTCCATCCTCATGGGTGATTTCGACGTGCCAAATGATGGTTGTGGGAGCCTGTGTTGGCGCTCTGTGACATCTACCATCCAATTTTTCCGTTTGCGAATCATCAATTCAGGAGCCAAGGGGCCACCAATTACACGGCGCCGACTGCCAGATGCTGTTGCCGATCACCACCAAGCACCTGTCACCTATCGACATTGTCTGTGCTCCTCATATCTATGTCCTTCGGACTGCCATGAGACTGTACATCCAACTTGCTTATTAAAACATGGACCTGTGTGCCCAGAGAGAGCAAAGCGCCAAAGCTGCCGTGTTTGAAATAGTGCCTTCCCTATTGAACACAGGTAGCTGCACAGGCGACTGGGAATAGGGTTTGAGGGGACAACTGGCAACTACATTGTGAACACTAATCCCTACTTCTGGCAACAGTGCTCCATGTTGTGGGTTGGTGCCTGTGCATGGACAACCTTGTACACAGCACTGGTGACTCGGAATCTCTCTCAGGCTCCAGCTTCACAACCCTCAACAGAGAGCCTTACTGTCCACATGTGTCCAATACCTCTAGGCCACAGCATTGATGGGTTTAGCTTAAGGAACTGCTTCCCCCTGGCATTGGTTCCCCTCTGCCAGTGTTTGTTGGCACTCATCCCAAGGGCCCAAGGGAATGGCGAGGCAGCCCTTTATAAGCACCCACAACGTCAAACGAGGAAGCGCAGGACTCCTGCAGCAGGAGCGAGGGGGAGCCAAGAGGGCCAATTCGACGCCCGATGTGCTGTGATGCTCCATAGACAGAGGACACAGCTTGGTGGAGGCACATTCCGCTGGAGCACACGGACGAGGAGGCCATCGACGTTGCCTGCCTCGCCATCTTGTGCCCAGGTGGGCAAACCTGGCATGACGAGTCTGAAAATGCCAACCCAGCTAGGACCAGATATGCGATGTTGTGTGTCAGGCGGTAAAATCGGGGTGCTCCATGGTACAAGGAAGGAGGGGAAATCGGGCAGTCTACACCATGTGAACAATGACTTGTATTGAAGCTCTGTCGGAGTCCAGGCGCACTGGACGTGGTGTGAGATGCAAGGGATCGTGTGAGCCTGGGCATGGCAGTATTGCGAAGGGTCGTATTGAACTACGGTAACGCTTGATGGCACATCTTATTGAGGTTGTGCAAGGGTGTTTGGATAATACTTCAAGTACCTTCATGTACTCCATGAAGTATGCCAAGTTGATGTTCCAATGAAATATGGCGAGAGGATTAAGCTGTACGCTAGAGAAACGAACGTGTATGGTCTCAAACGTGCAAAGTAAAGAACCTCTGCATGCGGCTGTATCCTTGTTAGAAGTGGGTGTCCTCAGACTCCTAAGTGGGTCCTAGGAAGTTCACATGTGGTAGCCCCAAACGACTTGTTGCACGTGCTATGAGGCGCTTGGTTAGAAGAAACGTGCTCTGCCCTGTGTTCCCTGCCTCTTACTCCGGTGGTCAATATTTTCCCGCCCACTACACACTGGGCGACCTTCCAACGCATTGTGTGCTGCCCGTCTGCCAAGACACCCAGCACAAGCTCGGGAGGGCTGGAGCGGGAACATGCGGACAGGTTGGCCAGGAGGTGGCATCGTGCTGCCTTGCTCTCAGTGTCTTCATGGCATGTCTCTGGTTTCCTCAATTAGCAGGTGATCACTCCAAAACACCGCTGTGGGTGAAACTCCTTGAGTTCCTCTAGAGGAGTGACAAGTGACGAGATTTCTGGCCTGTTGGATGGGAGCTGTGTTTCCTGCCCTTGTCCTCCTGCGAGTCTGCGCCGCAATTGCCCTCTCTACCAAGATGTCGAGCGCTTCGAACACGTCAGGACCGGCAATGATTGGGATGTGCTGCGGGTATTTGGCAGCCTGTATGGTTTGGAGCTTCGCTTGCGAGGAACGGACTCCATCCTGGACTGACGCCCAACATCCATCGATGCATCATGTGACTTTCGTTCCCTTTCTGGCTGGCCAATCAGTGTTGCTGACCGCAGGCCGAAGGCCGCAGCGCTGCGATCCCTTCCTTTGTCTGGGTATATCAACCCCGCCCTCCTTGCATCACGAGCATCGCTGACGATTCCTGGAATGCGGAAGGCATCAAATCCGCCACGGCGAGCAGGAAAGGCATGGGGCCCGCCAGCAGCACGCGCGCCGCGCCGCCCAGCGCTGTCCACGCGCCGGCAAGGCCCGGCAGCGCAAGGTGGAGGCCCCTTCGCCCTGATCAGCGCACGGCGACGCGGGCGCAGGAGGCTCGCTCCCTCCAACCAGCGAAGCGTCAGGGGGGCGCTTTGACGACATCAAAGTGGACTGCATTGCATTGGGTTGCTTTGCATAAGATTCGATGGTGGTGGGGCGGGGGCCCGCGACGTCCTGGGGCCGCTGGCTTGCGGCGATTTACTGGGTCGCCGCGGTTCTGATCGCGACCTGCGCGCCGGAAAGTGGCCGGACGACATTGGCGGGCATCAGCTGGTTCGTCCACCTGACCGACCTCCACCTGAGCGAGTTGGAGGGGGACCTCGCAACTTTAGGGAGCGCGACCTGGTGGCCTTCACGGCGGACGCCCTCCCCGGCCTGGCGCCGTCGGCTGCGGTGATCACCGGCGATCTGGCGGACACCAAGACGCGGGACCGGCGCTCCGACGAGCGGGTGGCGGATTGGGAGAAGTACGGTAGGGCGCTGGCGGCGCTGAGGGGTGGGACCGGCGGCGGTGGGGTAGTGCTGGACGTGAGGGGGAACCACGACACGTATGATGTGGGTGCTCGAGGGGGTGCCAGGGACCTGTACGCGAAGTTTTCTGCGTCTGGGGCCTCCTGGGAGGCCACCAGGGCGAGAATCACGCCACTGGGGAGTCCATTCGGGGATGGTGATGGTCACAGTCCGGCGTGCACGCTGGTTCTGTTGGTGGGGATCGACTCCAGGCAGGATCTGGGCCTCAGCGGGCCCACCAGTTTCTTGGGCCTGGCGTACGACAGCCTGCTGCAGGAGGTGGACTTCCAGCTGGGGGAGAGCGGCAGGGAGACGGCCGGCCGGGGCTGCCAGCCCCTGCTGATCGCCTACGGCCACTTCACCCTCAGCTCGACCGCCTGCCCGGAGGGCAGGCACTGGTGCGAGGGCGGGGAAAGGCTGGAGCAAGTGCTCATGAAGCATGGCGTGTCGGCCTACCTCTGTGGGCACCTCCATCAGGAGTTTAGCAGCCAGCTGTACAGGGTGCACGACGCTCCTGACAAGAAATTCCTTGCGGAGCTGGAGGCCGGGGGCTGGAAATTCGCGAGGCGATTTCGTGTGGTGGCTGCCGACAATGGGGCCCCGTCTTTTGCAGACCTGAGATACAAGCCCACCCTCGACTCCGGGCAAGGGTTCCGCATCGAGGCCCTGAGTGGCAGCATAGGGAGAGACCACCATGTTGTGGTCATCACCAGTCCCAGCAGTGCGCATTTCTCACCGCTGGGGTCCGGTGCGCCGGTCAGTGCGCCTGTGGAGGTCCATGCCCTGGTCCTCCCCATGGATGTGCCCAGGTGGGGCAATGATTATGACAATGTGGACGTTGTTGCCCGCTGGACCTGCAGTGGGGGCGTCTTTTCCAAACACAGTAAAAATGGACAGGGTAAGTGCCAAAATGCCATTGTACTCAGCTGATTGGGAACCAGAATCAGATTTCAGTGCAGATGGTGTGCACTTGCAAGTCATCGTCAGCAGCTCTTTGGCAGGCCTTTCGACCTCACATACCATTTACACACGCACCAAGCTGCCAAATTCACCACTGCCACAGGGCCACACGATGATTGTGAGTGCAGCTCTGGGATTGGATTGGTCGAATGTTGGAAATAGAATCATGACGCTGCTCTGGGCGGTTCACCTGTTTGTTGTGCTGCTGGCTCCACGTCTGCTTGTCGCCTGGGGTATTTTCCTTTCACCAGGGCGATTAATGCACTCGATGCTGGACAAGAAGGACGTGGTCGATGGCAGTAACTGCAGGAATGGACTTTGGGGTAGGCACTGCAGCCGCTGCGTAAGTGGCTACATGGGCGTTGCCAGAGTGGGGGGTTTCTGCCAGCCTGGGGGTGTGCCTCCTGGTCCCTTAGAGGGTCTTGTCGTTCGCTTCACCGGAAAAGCCGTTTTGGCTTGGGCAGGTCATGTACAGTGCATACTCCCCATAGGGGCCGCTGTGTGTGGCACGTGTGCTGTCCTCCGAGCGCCTGGGCGTCATCTGCCATTACGGCATCTGGGTCCCATACCCCACTGGACACAGGTGCATGTTCATCAATACGCCAGACACACTGTCTGTGTCCATATACCACCATGCAGGCTCGGTGCTAGTGTGCACGATGTGGTCGGCTTGGGTCATCACTCGGTGGACGACAACCCCACAGGCGTTGCTATCAAGATGGCGACAAGTGCCGACCGTGCAGCTGATCGTGGGCACTCTTGTGGTCTTGACGCACTTGTTTCTTCTGCGAGGATTGGGCAACTTCTACGGGCCGGCTGCTGTCGCTCTGTCGCCAGTGGGCCGGTGGGGGCCATTCTGTTTGCTGATGCTCTTCTACTCTGGAGGGCACATGGGTGATGCGCGGGCGAAGCGGACACCCAATTCTGAGAGGTGGCAATCGCAAAGGGCAAGTTTTGGCACTGTGTTTGGATACGGTTTTCGAGTTTGGACTCACACGTAGATCAGTGAACCCGCTCGATCGGCTACAGGACGCTAGCGCGAATTTGGCGGCCATTCTTTGTTCTTTGTAATTCATTACTTACGTGCAACCCGTCTCTGCATTGTGATGTGTGTCACAGATCAGTGAAAGTGCACGACTTTCTGACGCCAACTCAATGGCGGTTTAGAATGGAACCTACGCATGTGGTCCCTGTCCGTCCAGGGAGCCCCAGCTCCATTCTGTGAGCCATCTGAAAATGGGTTCAAGCCATGGAGCGACGGGGATGAGGCACCTTGACCGCCCACCACAGCAGGAGACATCTGCAAATGCGTGGGCATCCCAATTCCCCGTCAAACGTTTGGGATGCTGTTGCCCTCCCCAAGATATACTTTCGCCATGACCTGCCCCTTGCTGTGGCCTATGGGACGACTTAGACACTTCTGCAAACGCCATCCTCTAGGTGGGCTTTCACGCACACCAGCCCCACCCAATGTCAACCACGCCTGGCCAAGGGGTGGCAATCAAGCCTGGTGAGCCGCGCACAGGGCTACGCCATTTCATCAAGTGCAACCACAGCATAGCCGCTGCCTCTCTCCACACGCACACTATGTTCCTGATCTCTACAGGGCGTCTGACCCATTCCTGAGCAACGCCACCGTCCTCAGCGGCAGCGCCGGCGCCTTGGGGCGTAAGCTGCGCCCTGCCTCCTGAGAGCGTGGTGCACAAAGATGGTAGCTGAGCTCCCGCAACCCACAGCATGGTTGAATGGTCGGGTCTTGACCCATGCACGGCGTGGACAATAGTTGATTTCGACTGCATGTCGCCGCGTACCAAAGTCGCTACTCCACCATCCTGTCCGAATACAGCCCCGCTGGCACCACAGTGCTCCGCAGGCGGCCGCTGCGTCCATTTGTCAGCCTGTTCAAAACGGCACTCTTCAGAGAAAGAAGCGCGCAGAAAATCTCGGTCGCCCGGTGGGGCATCATCGTGACTTTGAATCATGACAACAAAGTGCAGAACAGTGCACCGCGTACAGAAGAGTAATAGAAATTCACGGACAGCGCATGCTGGAGGATTGCACATTGAGCATTCTCATCCCGAGCAAGTTTTGTTGAGACTCCTCGCCATTCAGAGCCTCCCCGCGCATTGAAAGCAGCAAATGTCCCCGGTTTATGCACTTGCTGGATTGCGACAGCGGATCGAAGCCTGTCTGGTAGTATGGGTTCTCCAACCGTTTGGCGGTCTTTGGATCCGTGACGCTTATGCCCGAGGACAGTGTGGTTATGTAGCTCCTGCACTCTGACGCGGACGTCTTGCACAGCTGCATGACCAGAGGCTTCCCATCCAAGCACACATCGTTGAATCTCCTGATGGCCTCCTCGGCATCCGAGCGACGCTCGTAAACCACTTCCGCCGTACCTTTTGATCGGCCGCTGCTGGTAATGCATACACGAGCAATTTAACAACATTTCAACACTTTGATGACGGTATTTGCTACAAGCGAATCTGCGATTTATCGGCCACTCACTTGCTCTGAAGGTGATGTGGAGCAGTGTGGATCATCACCAGACCCTTACGGCAGATGCAGGTGTGTGCTCAAGGAAATGAAAACGCAATGTATGGAATAGCAGGCAATGGTCAACAAGGAATTTTACAATCGTTATCCAAAATCGCGCTCCTAGTTAATGGACTGAGGGAGCCACCCACAGGTGTTATGCCCACCCTTTCGCTTTCCTTCCGGCCTCTGAAATCTCGGCGCCATTTTCCACAGCATGGAGAAGCCTCGGTACAAATCCTGGTCGGGGCGTGCGTGCCCATTGTATGACATGTTTCCCTTCCTGCTGGCAATGAGTGGAACATACCTATCCGTGCACTCCGCGAATTTTGGCCACGTTCGATTTCCAGCTCAGATTCTGATCCTCCCAGTTCAGCACAACATGTGCCACGATTGGTGTGAGAATTTTTACACTGCATGTAAGGAATCATTCATGTTCTGGCCCTCTGTTTCCTTTGCCATTTTTGGAGCTGTGTAGGCAGAACCATAGAGAATGCACAAAGTGCATCTTGTTTTCTCGAGGATGCACGGGCGGAGTTTGTACATTTTGGCAGATGTGGGCCGAGTAGTTATGCAGACACGCACCTTCGTTCGTAATGAATGCCAGCTCTTTTGATAGGTCCAACGCTTATGAAAAGTTCTTGAATGTCCTCATCAGTTACGTTGTACTCAAGGTTCGAAATGAGGCTGCGGAAGCCAAGCCACAGTCAATCGGTCAGGCAAAACTCAAAGGCAGTGAAACTGCTGATCAACCAGGTGCCGCATAATATTGTGGAATCTAACCGACACCAGGTAGGCAAGTGGCCTGCCTGCACATGTGAACAGATTACAAATACAGAGAACCATTTTCCTAGAGTATCATGATGGTTGTGTCATATTCCAAAATGCTGTTGATCTTTGAGATACTGCATTCACCTGTGAATCAGAACATGTAGCTCGATGCAATTGATGGGTGCAAGAGTTTGCTGAACATTGCAGAGCATTGGCTTGTGTTGAAGCCTTATTCAATGAGCAAAACACCCACATTTTGGTGGTCTCCAATTGGTGCTTGCCGTAAAAATTCATCCTCCTGGCAGGCCTGTCGTCTTGTGCATCAAACATGTCGTGCTTCCATTTTCCTGAACCCTCTAGAACATCGAACTGTTGTGCCTTCCATGCGTTTGGGCGTCCCTCCTTCATCTGCATTGTCCAAGGGGAAAGCATGCCAAACATGATATCAATAGAGGGTGCCCTGCACACCCAGCGCTGCGCAACTTGCTTCTCGGTACATTGATTGGCTCTCCCTCACGTGGACTATCACATGGTTTCTGCCACTGGATTCTCCAATGGCTGCTTGATTGCTTGTTCCTCAAACAGAGCCCACTTCAGCCCCTCCACTGCTGCCACCATAGTTCCCACTACGATGCATGCAAATCCTGAATCTACTGGAGTGTCAGTTAGAATGTTGACAAACGAACGCAACAACCACAGCAGGTGTTTGGCGCGATCCGAATGCCCTGCTGGTTTGTGTTTGGCCAGGTGACAGTGCTGCAACCAGACGGGCGGTATGCCAGGCTGTCCCGAAGAGGGTCCTCTAGAATGGCATTTTATTCCGTTTATGAGGAAATTTGTGGCTGCACACGTAGGGTCGGCCACTGCGTCGTGATGGGATGAGTTGCCGTTCAGCGCCAATTGTTGATATTACTGATTGGCACCAAAATTGGGGCAATGGCCATCGTAACGCAGCAAAACACTGAGGATTCCCTGCCACGCTCCAACAGAAGCCTCGGAGCGTAGCAGAAAGGCACGCAACAAGGTTAACCCAACTGAGACCTTCAGGGCCCAAATCTCCGCCCCCAAGTCGCCACAGGCAAAACTCTGCGCCGGGACTGCCTTCCAACGCTTCCCGCTCACTTCCCTGGCACCATCCGCCTGCCGCATGCGCGTCGTGCCCCCCGCGACGGAGGCGCTTGAGCCGCTCTGGGCACCAGCCACGATCGGGCCCCGCAAGCTTCGATTCCCCAAGGCGGGAATAGGGTTCCGCAACGACGTCCCGCCGTCCCCACAACGCAGAGAGACCCCATTCCACCCGTGCGCCTGAACAAGGGCTGACAAGCCGAGAGCATCGAAGGCTTGAAAATCAAGCGCCGTGAAAGTCCCATCGCGGCGCCCGCCCCCTCACCTGATACCGCCGGCCGCCCCACCGGCCCGGACGTCTGACAACTTTCCGCATCCGCGCATTCACCCCCAGTCGGCGGCCGCCGCCGCCAATCCTCCCTCCCATTCCTCCCCGCCTGCGGGAAGCCCACCGCCCGCCCCTCCCCGCCCCCCTCTTGCCCGCCGGCCCGCCAGTCCTCGCGCTGTACCGGGCCCCGCCCGACGACTCGCGCCTCTGTATGATCTGGTCCAGGGTCATGCCCAGGCCCTCGGCCTCCGCCATGGCCGGCCCGCCCTCCCGCCCCGTGGACGCCGGGGCAGGGCCCTAGGAAGCGGCGGCGTCGGCGCGCCGGCGGTTGCGCGGGCCTTCGATGGGGGGCGCTGGGCGCAAGGACAAAGTCGTGTAAGCAAAACCGTGCTCGGGTCTTCATGTTACATCTGCTGAGGGCACCCCCCACCCCACCACGCACCCACGCACACACGAAATAATGTTACTGCCTGCACCAAATCGGTGACTGCTTGCACCAAGTCACGTGCACACTTTGTCCTAACCTCAATTTTAGGGTTAGGTTTAGTTCAGGGTGAGTTTTAGGGTTAGGGTTAGGGTTAGGACAGGCTTAGGTTAAGGGTTTAGGGTTTAGGTTTTAGGTTAGGTTAGTTTGGACGGAGTTGGACATGATGTGCACGTGACTTGGTGCAAGCAGTCACCGATTTGGTGCAGCCAGTACTTTTATGCCCGCACACACCCCCTGCTCATGTTTTCGATTTCATTTTTGCCGTCGGTGGTCCTGCACCATCGTATTCTGCAAGGACGGGGGCTTTGCTCCTTTGTACGACGTGTGGTTTTCTGCGATTCAAAAGAGAAAATCGCAATTTCTGCGGTACAATTTCTGCGATTGTAACACGTCTTGACACGCACGCATGCCGCCCTCATGGGCATGAAAATCAGCAGTCCTTTCTTTTCCCGCGAATGTTGGCCTCTTTCTTCCTGACGAGGCTGATGCGGATCAGTGGTCTCAGCACCTACGGCAGCCCAAGCCCTGACCCCAAGCCGCTGCCCCTCCCATTTCCTGGGCTTGTGGCCTGCGCGGTGTACGCTGCCCTTTCTGCAATACCGGTCTCCTTCAACCCCCCCCGTGTTCCCCACACGACAATACATTACATTCACACAGTTTGGTGTCCATCCCCTCACTAATACAATACCCGTTCGGCGACCCACTTGAAATGTGCCCTCGCTTCGCATAGTACTTCATGCCACTCTGATAGTGACTCAACCCAGCGTCAGCTCCCCTTTCCTCGTACTCCACTCCCTCTCCATCCCACAGCTAACCGAACTCACTCTATTCGGGTGGGCCGGGCGGGTGCGAAACAAGATAAGGGGGGCGCCAAGGGTCGCGCCTGAAATAGCACTCCCACTTGCCGCCAAACTCCCCGCCAAACCCAAGGGCCAGCTTGACCGGTCCCCTTGGCTGCGCCCAAGGTACAAGGTTCAACCCAAGCTCCCTTGGATACGTCGGGCAGCACTGACCCCGAGTACAGGGGTGACAGAAACTGGCTTACGACTGGCCCCAAACTGTCCAAAAGGCGGAACGGCCTGACCTGGCCGTTGCGCGCCCTCCCAATCGTCGCCCTTCGCAGAAACCCATTAACAAGATAGTTAATTCCATTTCTGCAATACCGGTCTCCTTCAACCCCCCCCGTGTTCCCCACACGACAATACATTACATTCACACAGTTTGGTGTCCATCACCTCACTAATACAATACCCGTTCGGCGACCCACTTGAAATGTGCCCGTTCACACTGGAGCACGGTGCAGCTCCTCAGGAGCGAAGGCGTGGTCATGCCTTAGTCACCCACGGGCGGATGACGCCCCTCCTGGGCAGAAGATGTGCCCGTACTGCACGTGCAAGTCGCGGGCAGTGATCGTCATCCAGCCAAACAAACGAAAGTCCCATTCGGACGGCAGCCGGTACACGTCAATGTACCTCCACATGACGTTACTGCGCCACTCCCCCCAGGCGCGGATGCGGCCTTCAGGCACCTCCAAGGCGTAGCAAGCACTGGCGCCCCCACCGCGCAGGCCGTGGTGATCGAAGGGCTCCGGGGGCGGCGAAGGAAGGGCGCGCTGCAGCAGAGGAAACCAGCCGGAAACCGTCCGCGCGGAGGGATCCTGCTCACCAGGGAGCATGTAGAAATGGGTGGGGGAGGCACCAGCGTCCGCCCACGCCTTGTCCCGAGCCGCCGACCAGCGGAGGAAGAGATCGATGATGGATGGCGCGCCGTCCGAAGGCCAGGACCGGCACCGGATACGCGGGTCCGTAGAAGCCGAAAGCTTGGTCCGGCGTTCCCGGAAAACTAGGAGGCCGTTCTCCACGCGGAGGTCGTCAAGGAGAACGAGATGGCCACTTTGCGCCCGGTTGAAGAAAAGAAAATCCAGCGTCGCCGAGCATGCAGCACAGAGCAGCAGCAGATCGGAAGTCGTCAAGCCAAGGTCCAGGATGCTCCGCAGAAGATCCGTCGGAACCGGCCGATGAGAATGGGCCGGCTCCGGTTCTTGCCGCTTCCACGCGCGGGTAAGGTGCCGGGTGACGGGGTCGAAGGCGGAGAAGTCCAAATGGCCCATTGCTTGGTGGACCATCGAAATTGCAGCCAGATACTGTGGGAGGCTGCGAATGCCCACACGTCCCTCCTCCCGCAGGAACCGGATGTAGCGGTAGATCGTCGAAGGCCGCGCGGGGAGGCTGGCCAAGTCGTGCGCCTCGCAGAACGTAGCAAAGCGGGTGAACTTGGCATGCATGGATCGGCGGGTTGACTCGGTATAAAAGGAAAGAAATTCGGCCTGCATCCAAGACCGATCGGACGCCGACAGTCCGTCCACCTCGCAGCCAAACAGCGGGTGATCAGCGGGCATCTCCTCGACCGGGAGAGGGTCGGCCACCGGCGATGCCGATCGGGAAGAGGGCGTCAGGCGCCCAGAGACGGATCCCCCCTCCGCGGCCGAATGTGGAAGGCACGGAGATTCCACCGGGGGGGAGGCAGGACGGCCGGAATCGACGGATCGCCCGGGAGGAACATCTCCGGGCGGCGAGGAATGAAGAGCTCCGCCGAGGTCATGCGCCGGAGCCGCGGAAACCACATGGCCGACGGCCAATCCGGCGCCAAGACCACCGCCTCCACCGCCGGCCGTTGGCGCAAGAAAGCCGTGAGACGCGGAAGCAACGACCAAGGCGGATTCGCCCAGTTGGCCGCGCCCGTCCAGTCTTGGAGGAAGGCATCCACCCCCGAAGAATGGGGCTCGTGGTGCCTCGAATTGAAGGCGGTGCAGAGGGAATTCCGATGGGAAGCAAACCGGTCGATGGTCCGCTCCCCAAACCGGCGGGTAATGGCTTTGAAGATCACCGGATTGAGACGGTAGTCCTCGCCCCCCTTGACCCGCGACAAGCGGTCCGGAATTGTGTTCTCCTTGGACGGGATGTATTCCGGATCGAGCAGCAATGCGCGGGCCGAACAAATCCGCTGCAGTTGGCAGAGCGGCCCGCGGAGCTGGTCGGAACCCGTCGTCATGCTGCGGATACAAAAGAGAACCACCTGCGAATCCACGAGCAGGCGCAGCCGAGCCGAGATCGAGGGGGTAACCGTCGGAAAAAAGGCCCGGATGGCCAAGGCTACCGCCTGCAATTCACGCACATTGATGTGCGTTAACGAGCGATCAAAGAAGCCTCTCGCCAATTGAGGATGATCGGCGTGAGGAGGAGTGAAAGTCGCACCCCAACCCGTCAAGGAAGCATCCGTAGCGAGGGTACCCGCAAAGGGCACCCCGTCGGGATTAAGGGGGCGGCCATCACACCGATGAAGATGGACCCAGGCCTCTAGATCGAGGCAGGCTTGCGGGGTCAATCGAAGACGATCCCGCCAAGAACGTTTGGTCCGGAGCACAGCATAAAGGCTCTGAAGAAAAAACCGGGCAAGGGGAAAGGCTAAATAAACCGAAATAGCCTGCCCACAAAAGCGAGCCAGATCCCGAGCGACTACCCATTTCCGGGCCCGAAGTGATGCAGGGAGCTTCGTTGCTCCCGCGGGCGCACAGGTCGGATGAAACGGGGAGTCGGAATCCCCGGGCGGTTACTACATTTGTACATTATACAAGATTGTCTTTAATTGCTCTGTTCATTGTCCCATGTCCTTTGTAACCACCACAAGGCTAGTTTACCCAACTCAGACCCATTTAGGGTAATCAAATGCATCTAATTCATCTACAAAAGCAACCGTATCAATTCTCCCCCCCCCACCAAGTGTGGCCGTCCTCGGCCACGAGACCAACGACCCAGAAAACCAGCAAGAAAGAAGATACGGCGTACCCAACAGAAATCCACAATAAGTCAGACTAGCCGTGTCCCATACCACGATCCAACTCATAATGAACCCCTGCTATCCATATGTCCACGCAGTCCATCACTTCTTTCGGCGGCTCTGTCTGGTCTTCTTGATTGCTTCTTGTCGTTGTAGCCTGAGGAGGTATTCTGCAACGAGGTCCGAACAATGCGTGAGATTGGCCTCTGGCTCCCAGGTTGCTTCATGAAGCTCATAGCCTTTCCAGGCTACCAAGTACTGTCTTCTGGAAGTGCTGCCACGATGTCTGATGATCGCTTCAACCTCAAACTCTTGCTCGCCCTCTACCTCTAGTGACTCCGGAGGTGAACTGACGGTGTGCTGAAATGTCTCACTGCACTCAAACTTCTTCAGCTTCTCGACATGAAAGGTCGGATGAATACGCCAGTTGGATGGTAGTTGGAGAGTGTATGCAACTGGGGAAACTGCCTTCACCACCTGAAAAGGTCCAATGTAACGACGCCTGATCTTCACTGGAATATGCTTGAAAGCTGTGGAGGGCAAAAATGTTGTTCTCACCACAACTTCATCTCCAGGCTTGAATTGCACATCACGATGACGCTTGTTGGCAGTTGTAACCATCCTCTCCTATGCCTTTTCATAATGCGTCACAGCACTGGACACCACCTTCTGCATCCTGCTGACCATAACATCCACTGACTCTACCCTGGTGTCAACTGTCTTCTCAGCCATGAGTCCCACTGGAGCTTGTACATGCTGCCCATACATCAAATAAAACGGGCTGTATCCGGTCGCTACGTTGATAGCATTCCTCACTGCAAATTCTGCCAAAGGAAGGTATGTGCTCCACTCCTCTGGATGCTCTTCAACGTATGGCCTCAAGAAATTCTCCAGCGTGCGTGTGGAGACCTCGGACTGACCATCTGTCTCC